GTCTAACCAAATTCAAGAAACAAACTATTCTTAGCAGCAGAATAAACGTTCCTTATTCTATTTGAACTTCTTAAAATACGCATTGCTCGCAATCACAGATTCTTCCTTGTGTTGTCACGGTAGTCATCTCCATCAGAACGTGTGATGATTATTTTGGTCCGGTCATGCTTCACCGACATGGGTTCATCTCTGCTGTAGGTGTCACTTTGAATGACTGTCAATTTGTCACAGCAACCCTCTTTAAGCATGTATGAGAAAAAAGGGTATATCCTCTTTTGAACCCTTTAACTCCACATCCTCCATCTCCCTCCTCTTGTATGTTCATCCTCCATAACTCAGCAAATCTGTCCTTTGTTCATTCCTTGTATCTTAGACCTCTTTAGCAGCACACTTACACCAGTACTAAGCATGCATGCCTTACGTTTTCTTATAGTTTCTTACTTTTTACACCTCAGACCTCGTCTTTTCCCTCATAGTTTCTACTCTTACACCTCTGTACACTTCCTTTAAAACCCCCCATTTCTCAAAATCCTTAATTACCCAGGGAGTTCTTGCTTGGCTGCACCTCCTCCGCTTTCCATTCCTCCTCTCATTTCTCTACTCGTGTCCTCCTCCGACTTTCCTGACCTTGTTCCTTAACCCCTATCATTTTCCATCATCCATTTTGCCTTGGAGCTGTAATGGGCTTGGACTTTGCAGCTATTATATATTATTTCAATGGACTGGAAGCAAAAAGCATTACAACTAGGAAAGTTCCTGCAGGTCAAGTTTGTTGCAAACAAGAGTTGGCTCTGTTTTTATTTGATGCAGAAACAGATCACTTTTTGATGTTAGGGAGTGTATGATAGATATTCTGCTAATTTTCATGTTCATATTTGTATTTAGTGTCTCTACTGTGACGTGTCTCCATCCTTTAATGTTCAAAAAGCTCTTTATTTTTCTCATACTGCCTGGATTTCACCCTCTGACTGAAACCAGAGCCCAGACTGCTCTGTTGTGATTGGTCAACCGCGTAGATATGTCCCGCCCTTTAGCCTATCATGTGTTGGAGCGCTAGCCAGAGAAGCTTTACATAGTGATGTCACTATTTAACGGAAATCCAATGGAGGCGTTTCAGGGGGAGACAAACTCCCTCTGGAAGGAATTAGGGGATTTTAGCCTTTGCAGACTATTAAAGGTGGGCTAGGCAATTTTGGAGAAACCAGCTAGAATTTGAAAATACACAGCCGGAAAATAATCTGTCTCTTCCTTACAGAGCCCCTCCTCCAACACACGAACGCGCACATGACCAATGAGGGCACGAGATACGTTTGTGCACAGATGGAAAGCTGACAGGCAGGTAGGCCATCCAGTTACTTTAGCCGGGCCGGCTAAAATGATTGGTCGAGCTTTTTACAGTACTACGGCTTCCAGAGATGACATTTTTTTATGGATTTGTTGTCAAAGCACTTCAGATATTCATTGCTATCGGGATGTTAAGAGCATTCCATGGAATATAACAAAAAGTGTATCTCGAGCCGGTTTCTCAAACTTACCTACCCCACCTTTAACATGCACAAAAACCTATAACACACTACAGAAAAGAGAAAGCCCCCAAAAGCACAACAGGTCCTCTTTAAATAAAACCAAAGCCAAAGTTGGACACCAATCTGTAGACCACCTCTCTCTCCTTCCTTAACTTTCACCTCCATCTTGTCAGCTCCCTCCTCAGGCAACCAGCCAGCGCCGGGACACCAGCTGGACAGGTCACTGCTTTGGAGTAACTTTGTTCAACAAACGCAGCTACTTGTCTGTGTGGAGCCAAGGCCAGGATAAGTGCCGTGCCCTTGCATAAATACATAGATGCATAAATATATATAGAGACACATGTGAACTGTCCCCCAGACCTTCTGCCGCATCACTCACCATGTACAGCCGTTTCCTGCATCGCCCTTGGGTTGTCCCATCTGGACAGTGTGTGTGTGTGTGTGTGTGTGTGTGTGTGTGTGTGTGTGTGTGTGTGAGAGAGAGAGA